GCTCCGGCTCGCCTGGTGCGTTCCAGCCTAGGTTGCAATTTGCATATAGGCAAAAACGCATAAAAAGTGAATGCCTACATGGGCAACCGCCTGGTGAACTGGCGCAACACCGCGAATGGTTCTCATGTAAATTTTTACATGAGCGGTCTGACCTTATTCATTTGAACAAGCATTGGGTAACTTGCGAGTACGACCATTCATGTAAAGAACTCACGTATGGCCCGCCAAAGTAATTCGTATAAAGCCGTTTTGCATAAACGACGTAAAGCCCGAGGAAAAATGATCAATTGAGTGGCCTTCAAACATACGGCATTTGGTCTTTGGCCGGACATGTGCTGTTCAAGATAATTCTAGCTCAGTCCCTTGTACTGCTTTTTCTCGGGAATAAATAGCTGGTCACGCGTCCAACTTTCGTCACTTTAAATACACGGGCAGGCAACAACGACACATTGAAAAGTGTTGTAAAAGGTTTTTTAAAACAGAAGCACAAGCATAAGGGGAAATTTTTTGAGCGGAAACAGTGGCAGGACGAAATTTTAGTTTTCTGATAGCTTTTAATGTGCATGTCTACTGTCCATGTACGGGCTTTCAAGTATAAGATAAGCGCTTGCTTAAGCATGTGATGCGCCTGCAGACATGTCAAATGCTCAAATTATTTTTGAGACAATGCGCCTTAACTTTTCGATTGTGGTTCTATGTATTGGCAGTCTCACGTTACCTAGGAGATGCAGAAGCATGAGAAGCACTCTTTTGTTTTAGAAAGAATAATTTGTTTTTTCAGGCAAAATGTCCTGGTTTTTAGCAGTTCAATTCATTTTTTTTTGTTCACTGTATGCTTGACTGGCATAGTACTTTTTTCCATTCCAGTTTGAATGCCTGCTGAAAGGACAGTGAGGCAGTTTGCAATCCGGTATCATTCAAGCTGATTGTCCAAGCCCTCTTAGTATTCTGGTTTCGAAATTTGCATCATATTCCTTGGTCGAAAAGCAATTTCTTTCATGTCACCGGGCCTTGGAATAACAAAATTCAGACCGAAATGGTATTCATCACACACCACTGGTAGCCTAAAACGGCTAAAACTTTGTCAGAAAGCTTCTGTCAGGTGAACAGCTGAGCTGACACCTCCCAGAAAAAAATGAATGTCAGGATCGCCAAGAAGCTGATCATTTCAGAAGATGCAGCATTAGTCAAAGCAAGTTGCCAGCTATAAATTGTCATCAATGAATTGCAATTGATCAAAGCATCGAGGTACAATGAATTTTAGATTATACAACTGTTGAGTACTTTAAAGATCCTTGAGCAGTTATAATTCGTAGTGTTTTTCTCCAGCGGTGCAGCTAATAGCTTTTCCTATTGCTTTATCTAGTGCTGCATCACTTTGCAATCAATTTGTTGGCGATCCTGACATTATTTTCGTCTCTTGGAAAGATTAGGTGTAAATAGATGACAAAGAAATAATTGATTTAGTCCAAAAAGTCTTATTTTCGACATTTTCAGATTTGGTAAAACGCAAGTATGCAGGTGACTGGACGCTCCTTTACAATTTCACTGTCTCCAGCTATCCTGCTGATTTTTCTCATAGGTCAGAGGAAAACCGAAGCTGCGAGATGGCGACAACCTTTCGATTCCAGCACCAGTTTCCCGAAATCCCAAGCGAGCGCTCTGGATTTAATTCAGCTGCAACATGCGAAACCCGAAAATACAACCACTAAATCACTTCATTCCGGCGAGATGCATCCTCTTGTTCTGGAACCACAGGATCGAACATTCGATGAATTTATGGATTTTCAATTAGTCAGCGTGAAGCATGATCACTCATATCCATCGCCGGCCTACGATATCCACACGTCACCACCACTGTCATCATCAGCAGCATCATTATCACTTAGTCAGTCTTCTGTTTCTTGTGGCATCCCTCCTTTACATCATCAGCACAACCCAGAAGAACAGCCATGGAGGATACTGGAGCAGTTTGCTACTCTTCACTTCAAATTCCCCGCTCTTCCTGGCTCCAGCTTTTCCGATTCTTCTGATTCTTATAGCAGCCAAACTCAGTTACAAGAGCACAGCGTTTTTGGTGACAAGGTTGATCAGCTTTATAAACCACCATTTATGGTACCATCAGCAGCAGCGGAGGGACGTGCTGAGATCGCGGAAAATCGCCCAACTTTCTCACCAGCATCGGCAAGCGCCGTTAAATTGCATCTGCCCGTTGCACATACCGATGGCACATTCACTAATAAACGGTCAACGATCCTCAAACTATTGCGAAAGAAGTTCCTTTTGAAAAAGAGGAAGCCTCCGATATTTCACAAAGTTACATTTGCGGATGCACAGTCTACGCAGGCACAGAGCAAAGTGAATCTTGAATGCAAACGTGTAAGTGAAAGTGTCCCGTATGTCCAAAAACGTTGTTTACAAACAAAATCTCCTGAATTACATTGAATCCAAACATCACGGCCTGGAGACAGAAAGTGATTCGACAAACTAGACCAAAAATCGGCTCGGAGTGATAGGCTTAAAAATCTTTTCGACGAGATGGGCTACAGAATTTTTCGGCTTACTAGGCTACAAATTGATCCGAAATTGTTTCAAATCATCTAACTTAAAAAAACAATTTTGGGGATCAGTCAAATTAGGAAGCTCAAATTTTTCAAGAATATTCCTTGTTCGACTTACAAATTTTAAACTCAGCTTCGAAATCTCGCGTGTGCGTGGGCAAAAACTACATTATGGCGCAAATTTTAGCACAAATTTATCTAGGCTATAAATTATTTTCTTCGGCTAGAGTAAGAAATTATTCAACGGCTAGTCTACTGGCAGTATTCAGTTCGTTTGATCTTTGATTACCCGTCGTTTCCGTAGTCTCACCATTCGAGCCTCAAACTCAGTTGGTGTTCTTACAGTACTTGCTACCGAAGCCTACATCACTCCGTGTTCATTTTTAGGTTTTTTTTCTGCTTGAGAATTATGTTATTTTTTTCGTATTCCACGGCTCATTGTCGTTCTTCAGCTTACCTATCAATGACTCTTCCCAGCGTTCTTACATTACAGGGAGGAATTGCATTTGAAATCATTGGCATATGAGTTCCCAATACCTCTGGACTTTGAATATGGGAAAACGTGACACCGGACCGGGCTGAAAACGCGCTGTACTGTTGTTTTCAAATATAAATTGTTGTATTGTTTTTGTACGCATGCATGCACGTTAATGTTTAAATATCAACGCGAAACCACTGATTTTACTGAGACACATTTATTCAAACGTAATGGACGTAATCCAAACTCTTCTACTACTTACTTTCACAGCGCGTGAAATATTGTTCAGATGATTTATTACTATTAAAATGTTGGTGAAGAAGTGATGTATTTTCCTCATGAAAATGCGTTAAAAACTGAAATTCACTATTTTAAAAAATGGTGGAATTCAACAAACACTACATGAATGCAACATTCAGTTTTCTGATCGTTTACTTTGGCACCTGGATTAGCTGTTGTTTCATAATCGTGTTTTTTCTCGCCAATAATGCAGCTGGCAACTTTTCTATTCCTAATTTTGGGTGTCTTCTTTTCCGTCATCAAATTTATGCATGAAAAAATGTAGGGTGTTCTCGGCTACAGTTGTAGAATTTCGTTTTTGAATAAACGATAAATACAAAAATGAGATGATGGACAAGGAAAGCCAACGCAAAAGATGCATAAGAATTTCTTCAAAAATTCCCATGGGAAGTAAAGTGCCATTTTTGCGGGACCATTTCGAGCACAGCACCGGCGACATTAAGAAATCGTTTGTATGGTCACGCAGTTAGGCTTCAGCACTTTCAAAATAAACCCATTTTTGGAAGCAGCCATTTCCTATTTGTAATACACAACACAATTTTTCCCGCATGACAAAAATATTTCAAAAATAGTGTTTACTGTTGGGTGGTACCCAGCATTACCAAAAAAAACAAAAGTATTTCCCCAACACGATAAAAGAAACTGTCTGAGTGACTATATGGAACTGTACGAATGAGAGAAGCTTAAAACAGAAAAAAAATGGAGAAGTTGCGGGTTATATCAACAACGAGAAGAAACGCGACGATGATAAAACAATTGATCAAAGTATCAAAGTGCGTGCTTGTTTTATTTGCATTGGCGTAGCTAGGACTTTTTTGGAAGAGCTAGGAGAAGGGACATATCTCAAAATCTTTATTACAGGGACTTTTTCGAAATTTCTAGGAAAAACAAGCAGTGAAAACAAATTTTTTAATTCATTTATCAACATTTTGGCAGGCAACAAAAAATGTGAAATATTGAAGAGGTTACATTGAAACTTTCGGGACAATCAGCATGGAGATTCAATTTTGCTGATGGTACAGGCATGCACTCACAAATCAAACACTTTTTTCTCAGCTACATTTTCCCATTTTCAACTATGTTCATCATATATGAAACGTGGAAGCCAGAAATTGAAATAACATTAACTTTTGGAGGAAAATGGCTCTCTATTACACCCTTTTTAATAAAAAGGAATGGCTACTCCTTGCTTTTTATCTTGCAAGTGGAAAACGATGGTTCTCTCAAACAATATTACCAGCAAGCATGTGCTCTGCTTTTAACAGTGTGGGCTATTATTTGTATGGTACTATTGTGGCGTCCATTATGCAAGAATGTTTTCCGGGATTCTTCATAAAGTTCAAATTAATCAGAAAATTAAAAAACTGTATGCGGGAGACGCAGGTACATGAAATCTAGTACATTTTGTTAAATTTTTTGTTGTTTTTGAAGTAGTGCGGTAGAAATTCCCTCTTCTCCAGGCTCGTTCGTATAATTTTTCCAAATACTGAGCCAAATGGGCTGGGCATAGCACTTCAAAATGAGACCAAAACTTTTCGGGAGCGTTTGACTACTTAGAAAAATTCCAGCTGCAAAGCGAAATTTACAATCCATCCATGTCAAAGCATTTAATTTCGTAAACTCACTATCCTAAACTATAGAAAATACATAACAGGTAATATTGCGCTTAGAAGCTTGGCAGTACTTATCGGCATGTGTGATGAAAGAGAAGGAACCATTTGAACAAATGACATTAAAATCAAGTTTCAGGGCTTTTTCGGCTGCTCTCTGGATTGCTCGCTTTGACACTCCCACATCATCCGACAGATTCTGTAATAAAATTAATGTCTGCTTTTACAAAATATCGATATTTTCAGGTTGCGTTTTAGCTTCCTGGATTCTAATTTATAGTTTAGCTGCTTTGGTTGCTTATCAGCGAGCAGTACTCACAAGAAATGGCATCATAACGTCACCTATCGTACCCTCAGCCGTGTTATTTTATAATGCCATATATTTTGGCGAAAATTGCGGCTAAAAACTGCTAATTCTGCAGAAGAACTTGGCAAAAAAATAAAGCGGCTGAGGATACGGTAGGTAAGGTTGGAATTCACTGCGAGTTTATTGTTGAAAACCAGAATTCTTTTACCCATGGATTAGGACATATTAATCCTAAGTTGGAAAAAAAATTCTTTGTCTTCAAAATGCAATTGGCTGCCGAAGGCCTTTACTTCTTCTTTTATAAATTCAAGTAGATAAAGCTTTGGTTCACGAAGTCAAAACTACTTAGAAGAGTCGCCATTAAGACGAAAATGTTCAAAAAAACATCCGCATGGAATTACGTGGATGTTCGCTGCATTGATGGCGAGAAACCGTTGGCAAAACAAATGAAAACGCTGCTAGTTGCATGGATGGCGAGACACACCGTGCGAAGAAGCGACAAAATACCATACTAATAAAGCTTAAAATGCTTTGTTCAGTTGTAATTCATGGTCCGGTTCATCATCTCTGCATCCTTTCTGGTTTTCTTTTTGAGCAATGCCGCGTCGCCTGGTGGTCAGTTTGCTAGGCTTCCTAAATTGTACTTTCTTTCCCTTCATTAAAAAAAAAAAAACTCATCACCTCAAAAATGATTTTTTTCAGTTGATGATCATTGCAGCGCGGGTCCTCCTCATCCTTGACAGTAGAAGCAGCAACGGCAATAGCATCTCGTCGATTGATCCTGTGTGCCCTGGATACCGGCGATGACCAGTCTTTTCCGAAAACTTTTGTCTTGCTAGCTTTAGATGCAGCAACTTTGCTCCGACGGCGGCAAGGTGCAATACAGCAGCAGCCGACAGCACCATCACCATCACCACCACCACCCCCGTCCTTCTAAAAAAACAAAATCAGATATGTTTTAATTAGATAAATTAGGCATGGTTTGATAAGTAAAAACAAGCAAAATAAAAAAAATGCATACAAAAATAGGAATACCTGAATATGGACACAAGCAAGGAATCTAAATCAATTATATAAGTACAGTATTATTTAACTTTATCTAATTTATAATCTGATAAATTAAGAACAATCAGTCAAAATCAGGTATCACGTAAAACAACACAGACCCAGGAATGTTCTAAACACTACCACTTTATCAAAAGCAAGCACACGCACACAGATGTACATAAACAAAAATATATAAAAATAATTTTTATAAAAACATGGTTCTAACTTGACTCAATAAATAACTAGTATGAATGATAGATGTTATTAAAATTTCAAATGTTCAAATACTATGCAAGTGTTACAACAAAATGAAAACTTCGAAAACTTACACAGTCACATGGTGGTGGCGGTGGCGGTGGTGGACATGGAATTGGTGGTGGCGGTGGCGGGCATTGCGGTGGTGGCGGCGGAGGCGGGCAGGGCACTGGTGGCGGCGGTGGTGGACATGGCGGGGGCGGTGGGCATGCAGGAGGCGGCGGGGGA